CGCTACAACAGGCTAAAGCGTTTACCTTGGTGCAGGTCTATGCGCAAAATTTGGAAGGAGAATATGATACCTTCCTTGAGGAAGCGCAGTGTGCTCTAGAGTAGATGCTGAAAAGTGGAACTGCGTCACGGGAAAAAACGGCCCTAGCGACCTCAGCAATAACGGCATGAAGTTCTCGCGGTTTTGTGCAAACAGCCGACTGTACATTATGAACACCTGCTTCGAGCATCGAAGAGTGCATCAGTATACCTGATACCGGGAAGCTTGTGCACAGAAGCCGATCATCGATTTCATAATCGTATCCTCTGTCTTAAGACGCTAAGTAGTAGATGTTCGCGTTCAGACGCGCAGAGCTATTTATCGATCATCACAATGTTGTTGGTACGCTGCGCTGTAACAAATGGAGTACCATACGAAGATCTGGTGGCAGAAGCAACCAGAGAATCAAATGGGAAACGTCATCTTCGGTGGACACAAGAGCGAAATTTCCGAGCAATATCGCAACGGGTTTGAACATATGCCGGTGATGACCACTGATGAGGAAACCGAATGGCAGCACTTTAACAGCGGCATACTCCAAGCTGCCGCCGAATGCTGCGGATTTAAACGGGTTGGCCTGCCGCCTGGAGGTCAAAAAAGATCTTCATGGTGGACACGGGAGGTACAACCGGCAGTCAAAGAGAAGAAAGGAGCATTCAAGAAATAGCTTGGAAACAAAGCGCCTTCTACTTACGTGCGACATATCGAGGCACACAAGGCGGCAGCGAAAGCAGTGGTAAAAACCAAGGCTGATTTCTGGGAGAAGTTCAGTGAGGCGTTGCAGTCGAATTTCCACACGGCAAACAAAGAATTCTGGTAGACCATCCGCCAGCTCCGAGATGGAAACAATGGCAATCTCAGAGTCTTGAAGGACAGGTCTAGACATCCTCTTACCAAGGATGAGAATATTCTTCGGCGATGGAAGGAGTATTTTGAGGAACTCCTTAACCCCGCGCAGCTGCAGGAAGACTCGCCACTAGAGCAGAAGGGTACGGATATCACTATTTCTGTAGATAAAATTACACAAGCTGTGAAAAGCTTGAAAAATGGAAAAGCTGCTGGAATTGATGATATCCGCCTTGAGATGCTCAAGACACTAGGCATGTGCTCGCTAACACGTGTCTCTCAAATTCCGATGACTGCGGGAAAGACACCAGTGGACTGGAGAACGGGAGTTATTGTACCCGTATTCAAGAAGGGAGACCACAAGGAATGCTCCAATTATAGGGACATAACGTTATTGGGTCTCTCAGGTAAAGTCTACGCAAAGGTGTTAGAAAGGAGTGCCGTGTAACAGTTGACCTCAAGATCCAAGAAGAGCAGTTTGGCTTCCCGCCCGGTCGAAGCACCTCTGACCATATATTTGCCCTGTGAGAAATCGTGGAAGTACGCCCGTCCGGTCTGCATGTGTTTTGTTGATCTAGAAAAAGCCTATGACCGGATGCCACGCAACAGTCTGTGGTCATGCCTTCGAGTATATGTAATAGATGGCCAGCTGCTAATGGCTATCCAATCACTGCATGCTGATCGTAGGTGCTGCATCAGAGTAAACGGCCTTAAGTCGAAATCATTCAACGTTCGCAGTGGTCTCCGCCAAGACTGCGTCATGTCCCCTATTCTATTTGGGTTGAACATGGATAGAACAGTAACGAGCAGCTAAAGTGATGAGTGTATCGGTGTAGGAGATGTGAATACGGGAAAGTTGCTGTCTGCAGACGACCTTGTTTTATTAGCATCTTCTGAAACTGATCTTCAGTGCTCCCTGGAAAGGTTCGCAGCTGCGTTCCAGGTGACCGATATACACGTGAAAGCATCTAAAAC